GGGGGGGGGGGGGGGGCACTCTCCCCATTCTACAGATGGAGACATTGAGGCCCCACAAAATTGGTGGCCGGGCTGGACCCCAGGGCAGATTCCCCCACACTGTGCCTCCAGCCTCTGGGCCCCATCGTGCTGCTTCTGGGGTTGCTTTTGACGACGACAGAGGGACTTTCCCTTTCTCTGTTTCAGGGAGAGATAGGCCGGGAGATGTACATCATCCAGGCGGGGCAGGTGCAGGTCTTGGGTGGCCCTGATGGGAAGTCCGTGCTGGTGACACTGAAAGCTGGATCTGTATTTGGAGAAATAAGGTCATAGGGGTGTGGGGTGAAGGGAGGGGACCTGGGCAAGGGCTGCGGAAGGGCAGGGGGATGGCCCAGCGGGCGAGACCTCATCCTCAAGGGCCCTTGGTGGGGCTGAGGGAGCTGCTGTGGATGCAGCCCTGGCACCTGCTGACATATGCAGGTGACATGCCGTCACCTGCGTGCGGCTACTGTGCTCACGCACGGGTGGAAATGGAGACTTCAGTGCGATCAGAACCACAGCCTCCGGAGGACTCACCTGCCTCCTGTCTCACCCCAGCTTGCTGGCTGCTGGGGGCGGGAATCGGCGCACGGCCAACGTGGCGGCCCACGGGTTCACCAACCTCTTCATCCTGGACAAGAAGGACCTGAATGAAATTTTGGTGCATTACCCCGAGTCTCAGAAGTTACTCCGGAAGAAGGCCAGGTATGTTTAAAAAATATATGTTTTTATTGATTTCAGAGAGAGGAAGGGAGAGAGAGAGAGAAACAGCAATGATGAGAGTCATTGATCGGCTGCCTCCTGCACGCCCCTGACTGGGGATCGAGCCCACAACCCGGGCATGTGCTGGACGAGGAATTGAACCATGATCCCCTGGATCCTAGGTTGATGCTCAACCACCGAGCCACGCCAGCTGGACAACATTTTAATCAATTTATTTAACAAAGCTCATATATACTCTAGTGTGCATTCCTGAAGGACTAAGACTTTCTCTTACATAACTGTAGTGGCTTCGTGTGTTTCTTTTAGCAAAACTAGGCAGATCTGTGTTTTCTGATCTCCGTTTCTGTCTTGCGCAGAAGGTGGCCTAGCGTAGGTTCTCTTTTGCACTTTGCTTTTTTGCACATGACCTCAAACCCTGAAAATTGTTCACCATCAGCCCATAATTGGTGTGCTCATTCCTGCTGATAGTTGCAAACCATTCCTGTGAGGAGCATTCAGGCTATTTTCAGTATTTTGTAATAGAAATAGTGCTTCAATGAAGAACCTGTACATCTGTATTGTGAATTGCTGGGGAGTAGGTAATTTCTTAGAAAAGCGTATTTTTGCTTTCAAACTGGGTTTGCTTAAGATCGGGTTTTAAATTGAGTGATGGAGGCCACTGGTAATGTAGAAAACCCACAGTAGGCTCAGGAGGCTGATAGAGCTCAAATCTTGCCCTTGTGTGGTACTGGCTGTGTGACCTTGGGAAAGTTACTTAACTTTTCTGGTCTCAGTCTTCTCCCCTGTAAACTAAGGCTAACCATAAATACAATACTGTGTGTGAGTGTCCAACGGATGCCTGGCCTGTGGGAGAGCTCAATAAAAATATTAATAATAATTGTTCCTCTTTATCCATTAAATTTCCTCCATAATTTTTCCATTGGATGCTTTTTAATTCACACATCTGGTTTCTGCCCTCCATTGCCTTTTATCACATATTCTTGCTTTCCACTTAAGTTTTTGAAATAACACCATAAATAAAGGGCACAGAGACCAACATCTATTCGTACGGCACAATTATTGATTGAGTACATAGTTCGGGGTCTTGAGGACACAGCAGGGACCAAACAAAGCTGCCATTCTAGTCAGGGAGACCAACAATGGAGAAATGGATGATTATGTGATGTGTCAGCTGGGGATAAGGGCTCTGTGAACACACAGAGCCACATGAGGGGACAAGTTGATGAAGGAAGCTATTTGAGATCAGTTGGGAAGGAAAAGCCATTCTGAGGAGGTGGCATTTCAACTGAGACCTGCACCCGACTAAAGGATTGAGCTGGGGCACTGTCTGCAAGGAAGAGCGTGCCAGGCAGAGGAAACAACATGTGCCAAGGCCCCAAGGAGGCGCAGGCTCAGCGTGTGTGCAGACCAGCAGGAAAGGAGCAGAGCTTGGAGGGGCTGGAAGGAGCCGAGGGGCTGAGCCTGGGTGGGGCCTCTAGGCGAAGCCTCCCGATGAACTCCGAGGGAGGCAGGAGGTATGCAGGGTTTTATACAGAGGGTGACGTATTGTGACAGCTTTTCACAGGGCCCCTTGGCAGCTCCCAGGCAAGTGGATATAGTGTAGATATTAAAGCATAATACACACAAGGGGAAGGAAGCTGCCCTGTAACCCACCTTCCCCAGCTGCTCTCAGAGAAGGCCCTGGGCCCTTTCAAAGGCACTGGGCCCAGTCGACCTGAACTTTCCCCACAAAATTGCCCACTTCCCTCTCCTCTCCCTGGGGACCGAGGAATATGGTCGACACTCATTATTCACTGGTCCTGTATTTGCAATTCACGCCTCGCTAAGATTTATTTACACCCCAAATCAGCACACCAGAGCATCTGTGCGCATTCGCAGGCACACGCAGAGCGGTGAGAAGTTTGAGTCGCCCGGAGTGCGAGTTCCAAGCTGAGCTGGAGCGAGGGGACGCTCTGCCTTCTTGTTCCAGCTCCTACTGTAAACAGGTGTCTTCTTTGGTGGTCTGTTATGTGCCACGGTTTTTATATTTTTGTAAGAAGTTTTGGTGATTTTGCTACTTAAAAGGGCCCCCAAGTGTGGTACTGAAGTCTGGCTCGGGTTCCTAAGGGCAAGAAGGCTGGGATGGCCCTGGCCGGCTTGGCTCAGTGGGTAGAGCGTCGTCCAGTGGACCGGAGTGTCCTGCAGCATTCAATTCCCGGTCAAGGGCACGCACCTCGGTTGCAGGTTCAGTCCCTAGCCCTGGTTGGCGTGCATTCGGGAAGCAACCGACCAATGTGTCTCTCTCACGTCGATGTTTCTGTCTCTCCCCCTTCCCCTCTCCCTTCCACTCTCTCTCAAAAAATCAATGGAAATATATCCTCAGGTGAGGATTTAAAAAAAAAAAAGAAGGCTGGGATGTGCCTTTGTTCAGGCCCTTCGTTCTGGCCCGAGTGATAGAGCTGCTGTCCCTGGGGTCATTGTTAATGGATCAGCAATACATTAAATGAGATGTCTTTAAACAGAAACACACACACGCGCACACACACAAGACAGGCTATGTATCGATTGGCTAATGAAAATGCTGTGCTGAGAGGCACGCAGAGACCTAATCCGACGTCCCCCAGCAGCGACGGTTCAGTAGTCACTAATTCAGTGTTTGCAGGGACTTTGCAGAACTTACTCAAATAATGGAAATTGACTGTTTATGTCTGAGAACTGGCTCCAGGGCCCTCCCTTTCTTCCCCTCCCTCCCCGCTGCTGCTCAGGAAAGCCACTGCTCTGGCTCGGTTAGGTGAAGGTCTGCCAGATCAGCCAGATCCTGCAGAGGCCCCACTCCTCACCTGCCTGCGGTGGGGCAGCCGGAGGAAGGAAGAGGCGCTGATTCTGGTTCTCTGGACAACAAACTTGAGGAGGGACTCAGGGGTCACCTAGGAGCCCTGCCCATCAAAAGAGAGAGAGAAGTGGTCTGAGAACACAGGGCCTGGGGATGTCTGAGTTCGTGAGAGTCACATGTGGGATTCTGTCTAATCTCCCCACTGTATGGGAGACCTGAGGCCCCAAAGAAGTGAGGCGCTCTTTGACTTGGCCCCTCCAAAAAAATGGGGCAAAAACATCTCTTGCATGCCACTTCCTTCAGGGGTCAATAATCGATGCTGATGGCAGTGAAATGCATGTCATCTGAAAATGAGGCTCGGTTTCCTTAATCTGGAAAAGTCCCAGAAGCCCTCTCAACGTTTCAAAACAGAACCAGCCACCAGCAATCAGCAAAGGTCCTATAGATGGTTCTTCTGTGTCATTTGAGTGTCACGCTGAGCCTTCCTGCAGACTGGTGCACGATGAATTATGGACTCAAATAGCATGGGTGACAGTGCCGGGCACAGAAGGGGCCTCTGATGAATTATCATGCTTGTGTTCTCCTGGGGGAGCCCCAGCTAGAAAATGCAAGTCTCGGGCAATTAATATCAATATGCACAATTTAAATCCACTGCCTCTGATTAGATAAGCAGCCAGCGACGGCCTCATTTTTAAACAAACAAGTTTTGCTGGGAGCCTGATGAATGAATTCGCCAATTAGCAGTCTTGGCTCTGCTAGATTGCAGGCGAAATTCATTTGTTCTTGAGCCAAACCACTTATCACAAATGTGTGGCGTGAAGAATTCTTTATACAAGGCTGGGGCTCTGTCAGATGGAAAATTCTGTCATCCTTCAGAGAAGCTGGGTGATATCTTGCATTTAGTCTGGGTTGTTATTCTGTCTCTGTCACTTGCTAGCAACCTTGGGTCCTCCCCCATTCTAAGCCTCAGTTTCCCCAACCCTCACAGGTACAATAATCCCAGCCCTTTACATGTTACAGGAGTGTTGTCAGCATCCAAGAAGAGCATGATCGTAATGTTGCTTTGTGATCATTAAGGTCTGGCGTGCTGGGGTCAGAGGCATGGGTCTGAATTCCAGCTCTGCCACTTCCTAGCTGTGTGGCAAAAAGTTACTCACCCCCTCTGGACTTCCATATTCTCATTTGAAATGAGGGGAAATAATAGGACCTACCTGTGTTCTCAGTTATCTATCGCTGCATAGCAATATATATGACCACAAATTCAGTAGCTTGAAAGTACACATATTTACTATTATTTTTAGAGTTTCTATGGGTCAGAAGTCTGGGGACAGCTGGGACAGGCCCAGCACAAGGCTGTAATCAAGACGCTGGCTAGAGCTGGGCTTCATCTCAAGTTCAAGTGGGGAAGGACCTACTTCCAAGGTCACATGGTTGTTGGCAGAATTGAGTTCTTGTGGTTGTAGGACTGGGGGCCTCAGTTCCTACCTCGTTGGCCACGGCTGCCCTCAGGTTCTTCCCAGATCACCTGCCTCCATGGGGCCACTTGCTTCGTCAAGGCCAGAAAGACTTGTCCTTGCAAGACAGAGATCGCAATCCCGTGTTCACAGATGTGACATTTGATCACCCATGCTGTATTCTGTTGGTTAAAAGTAAGTCGCATGGGCCACTCACCCTCAAGGGGAGAGGATCACACTGAAGCGTGAACGGTAGGCTGGGGGATTGCAGAGGCCACCAAAGAGTGCCTGGAGAGGACTGAGCACAGGGCCTGACACAGCAAGTGCTGACTGGCCATGGTGCTGATGGGGAAATGACAGTGAAGCAAAAGAAAGAGAGGCAGAAGGCTTCGGGTCCTTTTTCATGTGGGCATCTTATTTCTGATTCCATATCCTGAAGTACCCTTCATGATTTCCTGTGTGACCTCAGAAAAGTTACTCAACCTCTCTGAGCCTCCGTTTCCTCTATAAAGTGAAACAACAATCTATAAGGTGCAGACGATAAGACCCACATTGGTTGTTCTGATCTCTTCGTGAGATGTTGTGCTTGGCTCAGAAAATGCACTCAGAGGTGGTTCACCTAACAACCTCCATCACACGAGCCCAACTCAGAGGGCGCTATCCAGACGAGCCTCTCTTCTTCCCCAGAGCATGCTCTGAATCAGCGGACGCTGCTTTCTTTCAGGCGCATGCTGAAAAATAACAACAAGCCCAAGGAGAAGAGCGTGCTCATCCTTCCTCCCCGGGCCGGCACCCCCAAGCTCTTCAACGCTGCCCTGGCTGCTGCAGGAAAGATGGGTGTCCAGGGGGCAAAAGGCGGCAAGCTGGCCCACCTCAGGGCTCGGCTCAAAGAGCTGGCTGCGCTGGAGGCGGCTGCGAAACAGCAACAGTTGCTAGAACAGGTAATGCGGCTGGGAACCAGGCACCCATCCATTTCATCTATGTGCCAGGAAGAAGGAAGGCCTGGGGACCTCAGAGAGCGGACCACACATTTAATTTTAGGGAATTCTTTCCTTTCTTTCTATCTGTCAGGGCTTGTTTGGTTGCAAATGACAGTGTAAGCTCATATTAACTTGATAAAATGGATTTTATGGAGTAGTTTAAAAGTTCAGGCAAGGCTGGATCCCAAAGCTCAAATGATGCCAATAGGATGAGGTCTATCATCTCTGCTTTTCTCAGGGCTGACTCCATTCCCAGACTGGCCACAAGAACTCTAGGATTACTCCCTCCTGGTTTAGCAACCCCAACAGAAAGAAAGCACTTCTTTCCCAGTAATTCCAGCAAAAACCCCAGGGCTCACTGTGATTGGACAGAAGTGGATCACATGTCACTTCCCAAGCCATTCAGTAGGATGCTCTGCAGAGGCCTGGCTCACATGCCCCTCCCTGTGCTGAGGGGGTGGAGTGGGTTTCCCAAAGGGAGGTCCTGGTGTGGGCAGGGAATGTCCCCCCTCAGATAAAAGTGATGCTCTCATAGTTCATGTTGTGTCTGACAATTTAAAAGATTTGGAAAGGCAACCGACAGGCACTGTGCCAGGGGCCCCCGCCCCCATAAATCTAAAGGGAATTTTAAAATTAGTTCTGGGACTGCTTTCTGTGACTAATGCCCAGCATGCCAATTAGAGTGATTGCATTAATTACGGCTGCTCATTACTGTCCTTGAGGGAGGCTGCCGGGAAAGGGGGGTGGGGTCAGGCAGGAGCTCGGTGGCAGGGAGGGGCAGCAGTCCACATAAGACAATTTGGAGTTGCCCAGTGAACTCAGGCTCGATCCAGGCTGGTGTCAGAGTCCAGGGAACCCATCAGAAGCTGTGTGACAGCAGGAGTCTGAGGCGTGAGCTCTATTTTCAGGACAGGGACAGGCTTTATCTGAAATGGGCTCCTTGTGTTAATTCTTCACCGAGGCAGCTTGGAGACGTGGAAAAAATTTGCACGAATGTTCCAATCGAAGGCATTTTCCTTACAACTCAGAACCAGGGCAGGATGGCCGAGTGCAAGGAGCTCTTAGGTAGCCATCCAAAGACACAGGTCCAAATCCCAACTCTGTCACCCCTAGCTCTGTGCCCCGCGTAAGTCCTCAAACCTTCTGAGATCCTGATTCCTCGTGGTTGCCACATGGATGTGTCAGAGATAAAGCAGGATACCTTTTATAAAAGCATTTAGGTCATGAAGCCCTGGACTAACCTTTCCATGATCCTTCTGGTTCCATTCATAGCAGGATGGTTCAGGAAGTCCCACGGTGGGCACCACCTGGGCATCCTGCCTTGGAAGTGCATTGTCAAGAGTTTTGAGTGGACAGGGGAGGGTGGAACAGGTTAACAAACACCCAGAAACACTGGGACAGAGAGAGTGGCAAGTTCCCAGGAGGCCTTGGGTTCTGGGAACATCTTGTCCCCCACCCCCAACTCCCCTTCCTTCAACACCTTATGATTCAAGCAAACTTCAGGGGTGTCCATCCCTTGCAAGCATGCTGACTGCTCTCACTAACTCACCACCACCGTTTCAAGTGGGACGTGGACATCCGTGGACCCCTGGGGCCTCCTTGTCTGGGGGCCGCTCCCTCCCCAGTGCCCTTCCATGCAGAGATGGGGTCCAACCGGGCAGGAGGGGCCATGGGGACCACAATTCCCTACTGATACACAGCCCATGGCCAGCTTCCATGGGGAACCCGCGGGCTGGAAGCTGGAGGTACCCACCAAGTCCCCAAACATGGGGCTCAGCCCGGCCTAAGGCCCGTGGCCCCTGGGGATCTCACCCTTTGAGACCTTCCAGAAAGGTGGTGGGGCTGCAGCTGCTGTGGCCCTCCCCAGACTTCTTGTCCGCCTGGAGGTTGTCCTGTCTCCCGGAGCGCGCAGCCCGGGAACTGGGTGGGCAGGCAGGGCTCAGCCCTGAGGCTCAGCAGAGACCTCGGCTGTCTCCCCAGGACCGCCACTAAATCCAGCCGGGACTGTCCACCCGGAAACGTCCCCCAGAACATATTGTCTGCAAATAACCCCGAGGCAGCTCCGCCCAGCCCCCCATTAGATTGCACCCGCTGAGCCTCCATCTCCTCTTCCTTGGGGTCTGACACGGGGAATGGGGGGTGTCCAAGATCCCTTGGACATTCTCGGCCTCACCGGTAACCCTTTTGGGATTCCAGGCCAAGAGCTCGGAAGACGCCGTGGGAGAGGAGGGCTCTGCCGCCCCTGACCAGCCTGCACCCCCGGAACCCCCGGCCCCAGGCTCTCAGCCACCTGCCTCCCCAGGGCGCGCCGAGAAGGAGGCTGCTGGTCCAGAGGAGCACATGGTGCGGATCCACATGAGCCCGGGTGTAGACCCTGGAGAACAGATCCTGTCGGTGGAGATCCCGGAGGAGAGGAAAGAGGCGGAGTGAGGTGCCCGCGCCCCTCTCCTCCTACCCCCACCCTGAGCCGAGCGCCTGCCCAGCAGCCAAGACGCTGGTCCACAGTGGTGACCTCAATGGTCTCAGCTAACTGCTGGCCGACATTCCTGCTCCCCATCAGCTTCTCCTGGGGCCAGTCTTGACATCACCAAATTTCCTAGTGTCCTCAAGTTCCCACCATCCCTTGAGAACCCTACCTCCCTTGACTATTATTTTTAAGAACAAAATGTTTTCTATTTGGAAAGTTCACAGGCAGAGGATAGGAAGGGGCTCTAACACCATGGCCGCTTTGTTGGAGGTGCCAAGGGTTTTAAATGTTGGGGTTTCCCTTCAGGAATCTGTCCCTCACATTTCAAGGACAGGAAATGTCCAGCAGAAAGTCAGGCAGCTGTACCGTCCCTTTGACTCACTGGGCCTCAGGCCCCTGTCACCCGTGTCAGATGCTGTCTGTCTGCTGGGCAGTCACGTTAGGAGCCCGGTGCCCAGGGGACTGAGCACTTATCTCCCCCAGACTATAGTCAGCCCCCGTCCATGCCAGCATCTCAGGACAGATAAAACGGGAGTGGACTTACGGCCAGGGGCTGTGAGCGTTTCTGATGTCCCCTCAGCCAGCCCCCCAACTCTCGTCAGCAGGGATTAACCTCCTACTTGCTTTTGATGTCCTTGCTGAGAGATGATGGCAGCAACTTGAATGGGTCCTGGAAGGTGAAGTCTCCCAACCGATAACACTGAATTTCCTGAAGTCTCTCCAGATCTCCTCATGTTGCTTTTATGATTAAAAAAAAAAGTATATGTGTGTGATTCAGCCAGCGGCTGTTTATTGAGAGGATTTGATTTGCATACTGAATGGTTCTTGGGCGAGTGGTGATTAAAATCAGAAGCTAGTCCTGGGCCACTGTCCCCACCGGTCGCAGTGAACACAGAAGGCTGGATTTTCAGTAGGTAATGCCCATGTTATGTAAAATTACTGGAACATTGTGAACTGCTGAAAGGGCCTTTGAGGGCTTGCCAAGGCCCACATTTATCCATCAACTGAAAAGCAGAACTTTCATTTCCCGTATGAAAAAATTAAACATTTTTAGGCCGGTCTGAGCATTTCCAAATCCCAGGGTAATGAACAGATTTATCTAGTTGATGACATATCCCATGATCTGAGTGGTCATCGCAGTAAATAGAACGATGAGTGGCATCGTTTTACCCTTTAAAAAAAGCTTGGGTTAATTTATTTCAATAAGTAGTAACATTTACATGGGCATGAAAGGATACCCAGTAAAAATTCTCCCTCTTCGCCCTGGCGCCCAACCTCCCAGGCCCCCTTCCTGGAAGCAACCGTTATTGTAATGAGTTTCTTATAGAGATCCTTGACGCTTTCATGAGGAAATGTAGAAATTCATCTCGTTCCGTTCCTTTCCCCCCCACAAATGCTAACATACTACTGCAAGTACTTCAGACATATCAATAAAGTAGGCGTATTGCCCGTCAGTAGATGGCAAAATGTTCCGAGGGCCCCCTCCCTGCGAGATCCTATTTTGTAAGGATTTTTAAAAACGTGAACGTATTTATTCTTTTAGATCTCACCCCTTGACTGTATACTGCTTATTATATAAAGCCAGAGATTTTTGAGGTGCCCAAGAATTGTCCCGGACAGAAAATTGATTTTGAGATGANATCTCACCCCTTGACTGTATACTGCTTATTATATAAAGCCAGAGATTTTTTAGGTTCCCAAGAATTGTCCCGGACAGAAAATTGATTTTGAGATGGGATGAACAGTGTCTTAATTTCACTGAGCTATCTCATTAAACTTGACTGTTTCACAGAACCTGGAGGTTAGATACCTTGAATTTGAGGCTGGCATTCTTTCCCAAATAGAATCGGACGGGCTGATCACAAGGGATGGGTGGGTCAGCTCAGAAATGCTGTAATTCGGAGCTGAACCAGGACCTTCATTTATGTCTGTTGAATCTCTACTTGTTTAAAATGTCTCAGCATGTTCCGCATTTTGGTAGAAAATGAAGAGCAAGCTATTTTTTAAAGCTACATAAACATTTAAAATAACATTAAAACCAAGAAGCTGTTTAAAATTTCATTATCAAAATGTGCTCAGCTACCTGGAATATTTTCATCTGTTTTCTTAGCAAATGTGCACACTGCCTTTTACACCCTGGCTTTCATCCGATTACAATGCATTTCAATTAAAAGTATTTAAACAGATGTTCCTGGCTTGTGGATTCGTTTGAGAAACTGGTCATGTATGACAGACACCTTTGTGGGAAAAATCACATTTATTCCCTGGCTCAGGCCCCCTGGCTCATCCACCGTTGACGTCTTTGGGGCTGCCATCCAGCCTGCATTCCTGTGGCTGAGTGATATCCCTGCGACATACCTCATCGAACCTCCCTGGGCCCTGGATTCAAAGACCAACAACCCCACCCACTGAAAAAAAAACCCAGCCCCTTTATATCTGGCCTCACCTCCTGGTCTCACCAAGCCAACTGTTTCTCATTTCCCCAGCCCCATTAGACTTAATGGCGCAGACTGCCGCGAGCACGGTTCAGGCTGCCTGGCTTCCAACCCCAGCTTGACCAAGCCGCATGGATGACCTTGGACCTCTCTGAGCCCCAACGACCTCATCTATAAGATGGTGGTAATACAGTGCACCTCACAGGCCCACTGTGACAATCAGATAATAGACTGGCGTCACCAGTCTGAATGGGCATGAGGATGGAAGTGACTTCCATCCCCCAGCCCCCCCAGAACTCTGTCTTCTCTGGGTTATGTGCATGGAAAGGCTGATCGCCTCTTTCTCTGCTCTTTTACTGAGAGTTAGTACTAAGGCCTAGACACATGTTAATTATAACAATACAGATCACGGCTTTCCCCACTATCCACGAATGCATTTAATCCAATTTCGTACAAAAACAAAGCCCCTAAGACAACTTCACTGAGACTTATTGTCCTGGGACAGTCACTCTGCTCTGGGCAAGGCCAGGGTGGGCTTCATGGGCCTGTGGCCTGCGCAGTGGCACGTGGCCCTGTGCTCCGGAGGGGCCCGTGCTTGCTGAATGCTCTGCTGTCACCACCTTTAAATTCTCGATAGTTTTTGAACAACAGGGTCCTGCATTTTTATTTGCACTGGGCCCCGTGAATGATACCGCCCCCCTGGAATGGCACCTGCCATCTGCAAAGGCCAGTGGGAGAGGGAGGCAGAGCTGAGTCTCTCACACTCAGCCCCACCTCCCGTCTTCCAGCCACAGGATCCTGCTTCCTTGGGAACGTTCCCTTTCAGTGTGCACCGTGACTCAAACACGGTGACTCCAGCTAGGCCCATCGGCTCTCTGTCCGTGACTTTCCCATCCAGGTGGCCTCTTTGCTGGGCACCGGATGCTGAGGGCCACCGCTCCGTCTTCCTGGCTTACGAAACCCTGATTTGGGGCAGCCGCAGGCCCAGCCCCCGAATGAGGCCCCGGTGGAAGCCAGTCACTGCTCTTCTGTTCCCTTGTGCCCGACACTCACTTCCCCAGGCCTCCTTGTGTCCAGGGATGGCCTTTGACCCGGTCCCAACCTCCCTGTGTTCCCGTCCTTCCTGTCCTATCTGGTCTGGTCTTCTGCTTTTCCCTAATTCCACGAGCCACCTCGTATATTCGAAAAAAATCCACCTTCGGCTTAAGTCAGCCCGAGTTGGTTTCTGCTGCTCATGATGACAGAAGCGTCGCCGACACAGACAAAGGTACTCCGGGGAGTTTCCTCGTTATTTAAAATTCAAGATCTAGGCCGCCCATTCTGGGTGTGATTTCGGTCTGGCACAGGCACTTGTGGTTTCTAAATTCAAACACCAGGAGGAGATCCTGGGAGGAGGGACCAGAGGAGGGAGGAGGCTGTTTTGACCAAGATCAAGTTCAAATACTTTTCCGTGGACAGCAAGCTGACTGGGAGAGAGCGGTTTAGCTCACGTCGAGCCTCCCTTCCAGCGGGCTCTTCCCAGCCCCCTCCCTGTCCTGAGAGGGCCACCTCGGCCGAGTTCCTGGGACAGTCCCCTCACTGAGGAGCGCTTGAAGGGATGCGCCCCTCGCTCCTGTCTTTCACCATTAAGTGCTAAGAACACACACAGGTGACCGGCGCTTTGGTTTCCAGAGAGCTTTCCCTTTCAGTTAGTCTCACCCACCACGCGGCTGTGAGATGGTCAGGAAGGGAATTATTAGACCGAAACTAGAGATGAAGAAATCCAAACCGAGACAGGCAATTCATCCCCGGGGACTCGGCACCTCGGCCAGCGACAGAAAGGAGGTGAGAAAAGAGCCCCCTCCACAGGCCTCAGTGTAACCTCAGCTGGGTAACTTTCATTCATTTGATAAATATTTTTAAAGGTTCTTTCTATGTGCCAAGCACTGTTCCAGTTGCTTTCTGGGCCTCAGGAGTTCCATCTTTTAGCTGGAAGGAATAATACAATCCCATCTTAAGGGTTGTTTTTTTACAGTTCTTACCTGAGGGTATATTTATTGATTTTAGAGAGAAGAAGGGGGGGAGGGAGAGAGAGAGAAACATTGATTGGTTGCCTCCCATGCACCCCAGGCTGGGGACTGAACCTGGAACCTAGGCATGTGCCCTGACCAGGAGCTGAACCCAAAGCCTTTTGGATGTTCAGGCTGAGGCTCCAACCAACTGAGCCACCCGGCAGGGGCTTACGGGTTGTTTTAAGAAGATTCAGTGGATGCTTGATAACCTAATTGTGACCACATTGTCTTAGTTTGCTGGGGCTGCCATAACAAAACACCACAGACTAGGTGGCTGAAACAACAGACATTTATTTTCTCCCAGTTCTGGAAGCTAGAAAGTCCAGGATGACAGGTTCAGCTTCTGGTGAGGGCTCTTCTTGGCTTGCTGATGGCTCCTTCTCTCTATGTCCTCACAAGGCCTTTCTGTGCCCATGTACTCTGGTCTTCTTATGAGGTCACTAATCCGATTGGATCTGGGCCCCACCCTTATAACCT